TATTACGTGCTAAGACATTCGATATCTTTGCAATTGTAAAGGAAAAGCAAAAACGCTAGAAGTTTGTTGAAGGAAAAAAACCTTATATATATTAAAGCATTTTTACAAAGTCCAAACGGCCTCAACAAAGAATTTTACAAAGGCCAAACGGCCTTGACAAAAAAATATATACAAAAAGCAAAAAAGCAAAAACATCTGCAAAGGCATCTAAGCAGCCTGGTCCTCGCCGGAGCCCACCTCATCACCAAGACCATCGGGGTCTTCTCCGTCCCCGGATCCGCCCGAACCCCCGGAGTCATCTTCTTCCTCGAGATACGCCAATTTCTTAGCCTCGTCCTTGAGCCCCTTAGCACTTTCGATCTCGACTGATAAATCAAAACTCCAAGCATGAACCTCCTCGAGGGCCTCCCTTCTGGACTGCCACTTAACTTATTCGACAATGTCTTTCAGGCGGTCCTGGGTTGCCACGGCATCGGCTTTGTACTAGGCCACCATCTCACCGGCATCGGCCTTGGTTATTTCAGCCACCGACTTGGCCACTTTAAGCTCCTTGGAAAAAGTCTCTCGATCGGCAACAGTCGAGCTCAGTTGAGATTGGAGCTCCTCCATTTTCTGGGATCGTGCCTCAACCTTCTCCCTTTTTGCTCGAAGTTGATCCTCTGACGAGGCCAATTGCACTCGGACAGTCTCCTTTTTCGAGGCTAAACGGTCCATCTTGCTCTTCCACTCTTCGGCCTCGACCTTGATTACATCCATCTCAGTCCGGAGTTCGTCAATCCGATCAATCTTCTGTTGGACCTGCGGATTCTGAATATTAGTCACTGTGTCTAGCTCATCGTGGCTAACTTCAAAGATTTTTACTTGTTCCACCAGGTCGGCGTGTTCTTTCTGAGCCGCGTCCACCTCGGCTCGAAGACTTTTAGCTTCTCCTTCACGTTGCTCGCTGAGAAGTTCGTACATATCTCTCTTTTCAGCGAGCTCTTTGGCTTCGTCCTCGAATTGGCTCAGCTCATCTCGATATTGGAGGAAGGACTCATAGTGAAGCACCGAGGCCTGCAAATATGAGAAGAAAAATCAAGATCACCAATAACCAAAGATGAAAAATAAAAAGGTTTGGCAACACCTTACCCGGTTTAGCGCCTGTTGTGCTTCGCTGAACAGGCACGGAGAATCCACCTCGTTCATTATTTGCCTGGTCTTCTTTGTTCACCAGACACCAGAGGTAATTAGCTACCCCAATTGGTACGGAAAGAACCCGGGCATCCTCCGGAACGGTGATGATAATTGACCGCTTCCTACCAGGATCCGCACTCGGGGCAGGGTACCGATTGACCGGTCTTGGGCTCGAATTAGACCCACCTGCCTCCGTGGACGAACTCTTCCTCGGTACTTCTAAGTCAACTCCGGTGGCGTCCTCCGTGGCGGTGGAGTCCACGCCATCAAAAAAGCTTTAGAATGGGGCTTTACTGGCCCGGCGCACGAGCTTTATCATCCCTACTCAGAATATTCGGGGACTATACAAACGAAGTAGGTGATCCACAGTGAACCGGGAGGAGTCAATTTTGCTCACAAAAAACCGAAGGAGGATCACAATCCTCCACATTGAAGGATGAATCTGACCGAGGCATACCTCGTATCTCTTATAGAAGTCTATGATGACCTGGTCTACTGTTCCCAATATGAAAGGATAAGTGTAAACACTCAGATATCCCTCGACATGGGTGGTAATGGCCTCCTCGGGTTCGGGGACCACTGTGTGTTTATCGGCCCAGTTGCAGTCTTTCCGGACCGTAGGGAGGACTTCTTCGGTGATCGAGTAGATGAATCTCGAGACCTCCTCACACCGACCCTGCACGGAGGAAGGCTTTTCAACCTTAAAATCGTCATTGACCGAGCATCCCCCGGGGATGAACATCTTCAAGGGCGGTTCAGTTGTTGGCTCATCAATGGCCACGCCCGGAGCGGTCTCTTCGACCTCAGTGGCCGGCCGCTAGAAGGAGCCTCTTTCTGAGGAACAGTTTTGGAAGTCTTTGCCATTCTTTTAAAAAGCAAAATTGGAGGAGGATCTGGAAAAGATGAATAAAGAAAGGAAGTTAAAGGATTAGACTTGTTGGCTTGAGAAGAAGATGGGTAAAAAAAAATTCTTTACAAGACCTTGAAGTAACGGGGGAAAAAATGCTAAAGAGTATTGTAATTCTAAGGGTATGAGGGTAGAAGGTTTGATGTAAAGTGAAAATGAACAAAGGAGGGGGTTTTTATACTAGTTAGGCGACATTTCATGCCCAGGGATGGCCAACCGGCGGCCGACATGCATTTAATGCCATTATGACGTGACTGACGAGACGTTTCGCGTTTTTCTCGTTTCTGATACGACGTATCAAAGAATATAATGAATCGGGAAGCTCATGTCATTTCTCGTCAACCTATTCTCCGAGAAACGAGGGGACTATCTGTATACGGGTAAAATCGAGCTCATGATGCACCCCGGCCTCCGACAAGATAAGCCAGGCTCAAGACATGATGACAAGGGGCCGACATTGAGGCGAATGTCTCGTCGAGTCATTATCGGGGGCATGACGCCTGCCCCCGAGAATATCGGGGTCATAGTTCCGGATTGGTCTTGACCTTGAACGACTTTGAGGAACATTATCGGACGATAAGCATAGCCAGCGGAAGGCCTAAATATCCGTGACCGGCCGGATATCATGGAAGGGATCTCGGCACGTATCGATAAGGAGCCGGCAATCAGTTAATCAGAAGATTTTTACCTTCTATAGAGTTGTACCTAAGGTAAGACTATCCTAATATATAAAAGGGGTCTAATAATTCATGAAAAACGTTGTATCACACATTCCAAGGCAATATATCACTATAGTCATCAGTATTGACTATAGTGAGCCCGGATCGAGGGTGAACATTTCACTAAGGCTGAAACTGTCATATTCGTGTGGTTTGAATTCATTTTTATCTTTACTTGTTCAATCTAATCCAATTTATTGTTTTGTATCAAATTAATCTGCGTATCCTTAAAACCACTTACAAATTTAATTGTTATCTAATTTTGAGGGTTAACATATACGTGTATAAATAATACTCCTCCTTTTTCTGAATAAATATGTATACATAGGCTCTTCGATATCACTAGAGTCTCGTGTACAAACTCATTACAAACCGAATTGTAATAATATATCAACATCACTTGCGCAAAATCCTACATGTGTCATTGTTTATGTTACCAAATAAATCCATTTATCCATCACTGGAGAAACTAGAAAATGCGGTTTTGTGCAGCGATTTTTTCGTAACCCTCATAAGGAAAACTTCTTCCATTTTCCCCATCGGATATAGTTGATCCTCTTTTTTTTTGTTTCTTTTTCTACTTGAGCCGAATGTATATAGTAGTTGAATTTGGCCTGGATGTAAAAAGTTAAATTTTATGTAATTTACCTACTTCCCTTATTTCTCCTTTTAGCTTTTGCTCTTCTTTGGGGGTGTTTGGGGAAGGGGGATTAGAATGGTGTGGTCAAGGGAGGAGCTATAGAGTTAGCTACCGGTCACGTGAATTTAATAGCTTTTGCGTAAACACTGTAAATATATTAACAAATTCACCAAATATCTATAATGATTTGACAATAAACTAAGTTAATATTGATTTGAGATTGCTATAGACACTCATAAACCTCAAATAACTCTAGTGTGGATAGAATATTGGTGAAGTTTGAATAGTCACTAGTCAGACATTGGATTGGAATGAAGGGATGTCGAATGAAGCAAAAGCTGGTCTGTCATTGCTTGCCATAAAAGAGCTTAACATACAAATTGGTCCTACAGTACCCAATCTCCTCTTTCTCCATTTAACTACTAAGGATTGCGAGACACCAAAAAGAATGAAAACCCCTTTCTCACCAACTTCAGCTTCTTCACTTCATTTATCACTAACGTGTCTTACTATACACCAATACTTTTTTTCTCCCTTTCCTATTTTTGTGTTATAATTTAAATCAAATTTAGGTCACTCGAATAAGTAACTCCTTTACTTTTTGGAAAACAATCAATGTATTGTCATTTTCTTGCCCTTCATCATTTACAAATATTAGATAACATTTTGCTTAAAGTTTACACTAGGAGTGAAAATACGCACATTTCTATAACATTAATTAATTGGAATGGAATAGACAAGATTAAATTTTATTAAACATATGTTTAGTTAACATAACCACGTGCCTAGTTTGGGAATGAACTAGTCTCTATGTGTTGGGTAAGATTACAACCCCATGATTTAACTTGATAAAAAAGCATATGTAACATCATTATGCCTAAATGTTGAGATATGACAAGAGGGTGTACAGTAAGACTCAACGATGTGAATCTTTACTCCAAGCTTGTTTGGATAAAAACGCTAACTAGATACTTTTAGGTTTCATTTGACATAAAAATTGGCACAATGGCATGATTCACAGTGTAATTGGTTAGATGATGGTTTTCTGTTTATAAATATTTAGTGAATTTTTTAATATATTTACAGGAATCAACAAAATTTATTGGATTCACGTGGTTTCATAGCTATCTCTATTGCTCTACCCTGATTTTACGTACTATGACTTTTTTCTAGTTATACTTTGCAAGAGATTAGAGAAGGATGAAAAAATGCAATTTTTATCCTTTTTATCACTAAAACCGTAGGCGTCTACTTTCACAAAGAGGAAATTAAAACAGTGCAAAAGAAAGAACAAACTCATGCACACCTGCATTAGCTATCGCATATTTGAAGAATTTGTCAATATCATGCAAGCTTAACATCACGACGAAGGTAAGCTTTTGAACCTCAGCAAAATATATAATTATAATAGAGCTAGATTGTCTTTGACATCACTCTAAAGTTGTTTTCCAACTACAGTTGGTCAATTTTAGAAAATATTATGTGCAAATTTTGAACTCTTCTTCCTGATTTCTCTTCTTTAAAATACACCATTTTTTCATCACCTAATCGACCAAGCACCCCCATCGATATCTCTATATATATATATACATCAATCTTAGAGCTAACTTTCATCCCAGTTCACTACAATATCTAAAGCTGATTTTAACCCTTCAATTTAATTTCAAGGAAGAGATCAGACAAAAAAATCGATGGCGTTTTCTAGTACTTTTCCATCATTAGTTCCTATGGCAATGTTCATTATTGCTTTTCTGGCACTATGTCTCCTCCCTCAGCCTGCACAAGCCATCACCAGACACTATGAGTTCAATGTATGATATATATCAAAAGTCCATTCTACTTTTATACACCAAATAACGTGCATACTTTTTGTTACACTTGCTAACATTTTGTCTTTTCTGTATCTTTATTAATGTAGATTACAATGGCAAATGTCACTAGGTTGTGCCATACTAACAGCATAGTGACAGTCAATGGAAAATTCCCAGGGCCTCGTATTGTGACAAGGGAGGGTGATCGTCTACTTATAAAAGTCAATAACCATGTTCCTAACAATATTTCCATTCATTGGTATAATCTTTGATCCTTATCTTCGTACTAAATTTGCGTCCTTTCGACGTGGATCATTTAACTTAATTAAAGTTTGACACGGGCAGTCAACGCATTGAATTTTTCGACCGACATTGGTCGGAAATTTCCGACCAATTTTTTCCGACCGATTTCGGTCGGAAATTTCCGACCAACTGCGGTCGAGCAAAGTTTGCGACCATTGTTTTTCCGTCCAATTAAAAACGGTCGAAATTTGGTCGGAAATTGTCAATTTCCAACCGATTTCGGTCGCAAATTGTGGACGGAAATCGCCTAATTTCTAGTAGTGACATTGCGACCTAATTAGTATTATAATTTTTTTACACTATAGTAAATGGAACCGAAGTTAACCCTTTCGACATCTTTAGCTATTTCAAAAGAAATATTAAAAATAAAAATAAAAATCAAACACCTATTATATCCTTCTCTTTTAATTATTAGTATATTTTTTTGGGATATTCTAGGATTAATTTCTTTAATTTTCTTTGCCCCTCTGAGCAGGCATGGAGTGAGACAGCTTCGTAGTGGATGGGCAGATGGTCCTGCATATATAACACAATGTCCCATTCAAACAGGCCAAAGTTATGTATACAATTTCACAATTGTTGGTCAAAGAGGGACTTTGTGGTGGCATGCCCATATTTCATGGCTAAGATCTACTCTTTATGGCCCTCTAATTATCCTTCCTAAGAAAAATGAATCCTACCCTTTTGTCAAACCATTCAAGGAAGTTCCAATCATCTTAGGTACACAATTAAACATCCACAGAGAATATATCAAATTAACTTTTATGATCCAAATTTCTCCATCTATAATTATTCCTAATATTAGTTACGAAATTTATTTTCTTGATGTTTAGGAGAATGGTTCAATGCTGATCCTGAAGCCATCATTAGCCAAGCTCTACAAACTGGTGGAGGTCCAAATGTCTCTGATGCTTACACCATTAATGGCCTTCCGGGGCTCTTGTACAACTGCTCTGCAAAAGGTACTTTTGACGTCTTAATTTTTCGTTCAACAATCATATTATTGTAATTTTGTGGGTTGTAACAGGTCATTCACCATCCTCAATAGGTAATCGATCAATACATGCATATTATAGAAAGTTATATGTAATTGACTTTTAAGTGACATGTATTAATGAATAGTAGTTAAACTTTTTGGTACTATTATTTTCCATTATTCTGGCTTAGCTCTATAAATGGTTTATTTGTGGCAGATACATTCAAGCTAAAGGTCAAGCCAGGAAAAACATACCTTCTCCGTATGATCAATGCTGCACTAAATGATGAGCTCTTCTTCAGCATTGCAAATCATACACTCACAGTAGTCGACGCTGATGCAGTATATGTTAAACCTTTTGAGACTGACACAATACTTGTAACACCAGGACAGACCACAAATGTTCTTCTAAAAACCAAATCTAAATACCCTAGTGCCACTTTTCTCATGAGTGCTAGACCTTATGTTACTGGCCAAGGCACTTTTGACAACTCCACTGTTACTGGAATTCTTGAATATGAATCCCCAGTTCTTCATTCAACCAAATCAATGAAGAAACTTCCCATGTTCAAGCCTATTTTACCTCCTCTAAATGACACTTCTTTTGCTACCAATTTTAGTAAGAAATTGCGCAGTTTGGCAAATTCTCAATTTCCTGCTAAAGTCCCTCAAAATGTTGACAAGCATTTCTTCTTCACAGTAGGCCTTGGCACAACTCCTTGTGACAAAAATCAAACCTGCCAAGGTCCTACTAATGCAACCAAATTTGCAGCGTCGATTAATAACGTGTCATTTGTACAACCTACAACTGCACTGCTTCAATCTCATTTCATTGGACAATCAAATGGCGTTTATAGCCCATATTTTCCTATTAATCCTTTGCATTGGTTCAACTATACTGGGAATCCTCCAAATAACACAATGGTTAACAATGGTACAAAAGTTTTGGTACTTCCTTTTAATACAAGTGTTGAGTTAATCATGCAAGATACAAGTATTCTTGGTGCTGAAAGTCATCCACTTCATCTTCATGGCTTCAATTTCTATGTTGTTGGCCAAGGTTTTGGTAATTTTGACCCTAATAAGGATCCTGCTAATTTCAATCTCATTGATCCTGTTGAAAGGAACACTGTAGGTGTGCCATCTGGTGGATGGGTCGCTATTCGATTTTTAGCTGATAATCCAGGTTGGTAGATTAAATCACAAATGATTTTTATACTAAACTTTGATTTGAAAGTATTTTGACAAAGTTATTAATATGTTTTAGTTAAGATTCACGAATTTGTACATTTGAATATAGGTGTTTGGTTCATGCATTGTCACTTGGAAGTTCATACAAGTTGGGGACTGAAGATGGCTTGGCTTGTTTTAGACGGAAAGCTTCCCAATCAGAAACTCCTTCCTCCTCCAGCTGATCTCCCTCAATGTTGAGTTCTTGGTTCCTTTTTTCAGAATTGACTGTCAAGTTTCATCTTTTGCAATTCCATTTCCTCTCTTGTCCTTGTTTAGCTTTATGTGTTTTTTGGATGTGTCCACTTTAACATTCAGTTTTTGTAACTGACTGGCATTCCATGCCATGGTCTAAGAAGAGGATAAATGATTGACTCTGTTTTGTAATTCTTTTTTAACAGCGATTGTGTTTTATATGCAAGTGAGAATAAATGGTTTCTTGTCCCAACTCTTTATTGATCTTAGATTATTGCTCTGGCTTCTGGGTTATGGATGTTTGGCTTTGAACATCTACCAACTGCTTTATATGACTAGATTCAAACATTTTAACGAATTAATTCATGTATGTATATGCCAATCATATCCCAATCCTTATACATGAAATGTTGTTAACATTTTAGAAAAGTTTTTCAATTGCTGCACTAATTGAAAAGACCTCTCGAGTATTTTATCAGGTTTTGTAAAAACTAAAAAGAAAAAAATTGTAGTGGTGTGTGGTTGAAAAATATTTAGAGAAACTTTTTCACCGGTTTTGTAAGCAAACGCCAAGGAAACAAATTAAGAAGCATTTGTGATGGTGTTTCTCTAAATGGGCAATACACTCTAAATGGGCAATACATTCTTAAACACACAATATCTCAAGCAACTTGAACAGAACAACAATCTACTTGGCCCACTGGTGAAACAAGTTTACTACGGGGAAAAAAATTAAAAAATAGCCAGATTTACAACTGATAATTGAAAAACAGCCACAATTTCAAAAGTGATTGAAATTTAGCCATTTTTTATGTAAAGATAAAATCTGAACAAAAACATTCTTATAAATCCGAAATATTTCAGCATAATATGTTGAAATTCAAATTTTTTACATATGAGCTTCCAGCATAATGTGCTGGAATTTCATAATATGCTGGAGTTCTAATATAATATGTGGAAAATTTATATGCAAGAGCTCCATAATCCCGCATATTATGCTGGAACTTTCCGTGTGCTAGAGTTCCAACATAATATGCTTGAAGTTTATAGGCAGGAGGTCCATAATCCTGCATAGTATGCTGAAACTTTCCGTGTTTCAGCAAAACAGTAGTTATTTTTCAATGACTTTGCAAAAGCTAGCTATTTTTCAATACCAGTCCGAAAGCTGGCTAGCCCGTGCTATTTTCACGTTTACTACATACCAAGGTCTGGCCAGTTTACAAGTAGACACGCAAAAAAATGGATAGGGTAGCAGTTTTTGGAGCGTCTTTTAATTAGCCATAGTTCAAAATATAATTGAGAAATAGTTTCTTTTTTTTAAAAAAAAATTCCCAACTAAAACATGAAGAAACTCCCAAAACTTTTATTAGAGTTTGAACATTTAGCATTTCAAGAGCTTTAGTGTGCAACCTGCTAATGCAATGTACTATGGAAGATTAGTAATATGAACCCATAAATGTTTGACCAAAAATATGAATCTTGGTTCAAATAATTAAGTTTATGTAAATAAGGGTTAATCCTAGCTAATAATAATATCTTAAGATCTTAGTTTTAGGAAAGTTGGATTGATGTTGTACAGATATGGACGAGCAGTAATAGTATCACGTGATAAATGCTCTGGAAATCAGGAACAGTAATGTAGCATACAATATTTAATGAGCAGCAATAAATGGCATTCAAGTAAATAGGAGGATGATACACCCAATAAAAAATAAAATAAGTGGATCTTCCCCCTGACAATGAATGACAGTTTAAATCTTCGAATAATCGGAGATTCCTCGGATCTGATGATAAAAGGCAAACAAGAACTTCAGTAAAAAGATGATCTTTATATCAAGTGAGAGCCGAATCTTTAAAGTCAAAAATATCTTTCTTACAAAAATGAATGTCCCCCCTCTATCATTGTCCTTTTTCTATTTATATGGAAAATCTTCCTAAGAAATTCTAATAGTACAAATGTAGAGAATATCCACTAGAATATTCTCTTTAAGATCCTATCTTGAAAACTAACCGTTACAGGGCCATCGCCGATACTCGACCTCGACCTCAATCCTTGTTGACACCTTGACCAAGGCTCTCATCGACTCTTTGACCACGGGTTGCGTGGCTTCTCGGACCATCTTAATAAGTGACGATTTACGGATTTTTCCCGTAATGTATCTCGACCTGAATATTCTAAGGGAGGATTTTGACCCATAAGTTAGTCCCTCCGCTTATTGAGGCCGGCCTCAAGTGGGCTTGATGAGCGTATTTTGTTCATTGTGGTCGAAACGATTGGGCGAGCTGTGCGGGTCGTGAAAATTGTGGCGAACTGACAACGTGGTCTTTCGTGAGCCGCGAATTTTGAACGCTCCGTCTCATGGTTGGTTTGTTGGAGTTGTGTTGTCCATGAATCAGGATGACGTCATGACGTCATGCCTCATCATGACATGTATTCCCGATGGTTTGCTTCATTTTGCGTGTGACTCCTTATTGGACCTGCCGCTTCGATTCCGGTGCCAGGTAATAATGAGCTGATTTTTCGGTTCTTACGCCTGAATCCTTATAAATAAGGATGTGAGGGTGATTTTTCGCTGCGCAAGACGGAAGCCATTGTCATCAGAGACGACGTCAGGCCGGTGACTGAGATTCCGTGGTTGACGGAGACCGACGTGGGTATGTCTCTTCCTTCTGTGATGGCGGAGGCAAACGGGTTAGCCACTGGAGTTCTTAATACTTCGCGGCAAGAGGAGTCATCGATTTCGTGGCCAGCTGATGATATTTCTTTGCCGACCAATGAGAGAGCAAAGAAGTTGCTGAGGATTGTTACAAGACGAGTTCGAACGTTGACGCGGGCGACCTGAATATGATGGAGGAAGGGGTTACCCAACTTGAAATGAGGTTGGAGGGGTCTACGAGGACCATTGCGATCCCTATGGATCGTGATTCGCTGAAGAATAAGGAGAACATGGTCCCCGGCCTCGGCCCTTTTTGTTCTGAGCTAGAGGGTGAGACTCTTACAGAGTTGGATGACGTTACTCTGTCGAGGAGCATTGCTAGCCTTGCCCTTAGAGTGAGTGTTTAGTGTTTTGTTCTTCTCCAATGATTGATAGTTTTTTGGGGCGTTTTTGTTTCTGACTCACTTTTTTTTTCTGATTGCATATAGTGATTTTGGAGATCGAGAGCGACCGAAGGGAGCAGAAGCGTAGGGAAATTTTTATACAGTTGAAGAACAAGTATTTTGAGTATCGACGCAAGTACCGGGAGTTTCGCCGGTGACTTGACGAGAATGGCGACCTGTAGGCCCTTCGAAATGAGTTGAAGGAGAAAGATGGTGAGCTGGTGGAGGCCATTGGGAATTGCAGCGTCCCCGAGGAGACATTGAGAAGTAAGGAAGACGAGCTTTAGGTTAGCAAGGGCGTGGAGGCCCAATGCAGTGACCTTCAAGCACATGTGGTCAAACTGCGCAGGAGATTAGAAGAATATTGGCTTCAGCTGGAGGGCCTAAATGGTGAAGTTGCTGGAAGCAGAGCGAGCTTGAGAAGGTGGAATCTTTCCATTTGGACGCTCAGAGGAAACTGGAGATGCTTGAGCTAGCGAACAGTACCGTCCAAGCCGAGCGGGAGAACAATCGGTCCACGGCAAGGAAGATCGACTAGAGGGGAGGGTCGGAGAGCTGGAGAAGGGTAAAGCCCTCCTTCATGGCCGGGTGGTCGCATTGGAAGATGAGAAGGCTTAACTGCTTGTGCATCCCTCTTGTTCTAATATTTTGGAATTTCCCAACGTTCCTCGAGAATTGTATGAGGAATGGATTCACGCCGAGGCTCAATTGGATGTGTATCGAGATTTTCATAAGGCGGGATCCGTTTTAGAGGTCGCCCTCGAGGATGTTCATGCTAAGGCTGGTGAAGCTCGAGTCGCTTGCGGGTATGATCCCGCTACACCTGAGGGCAATGAGGGGAATGATGAAGGCGTAGATCGGCTAGAAGAGGACGCTTGGTATGACACCGCTTATCCCAATGGCGAGGGCGGAAAAGGTGGGGCTAATCGCGGTGGCGAGGATATCAGTGGCCAAGGTGGTGAAGGTGCTGGAGATCGTGATGGTGGCGATCAATAGTTTTATTTTGCCTTGTAATCTTTTGTGTACTTTTACCGGCGTCTTCATGAGCCTTTGTAAAAACTTTCATATATGAAATGTCAAAGTTGTCTTCTGCATCTCCTTCCCTTCGTGTGATTTACTTTTGTGTGTTTTTTGCTTCTATTGTTTGCCTGTTTCACTTTTTTCCTTCGTTGGTGTTGCTTCTTCTGTTTTTTGTGTTGTGATGCGCTCGAAGGCCGATAGGTGTTGGTTTAAATGGGTCGTATGCAACCTTCATTAGTATTGCGGCTGAAGGCCGATAGGTGGTGGTTCGAATGGGTTGAACGTAACCTTTCATTAGTGTTAAGGCCGATGGCTGATAGGTGTTTGTTCGAGCGGGCCGAACATAACCTTTCATTAGTATTGCGACCGAGGGCCGATAGGAATTTGTTCGAGTAGGGTCGAACATAATCTTTTGCAAGTTTTGCTGTCCAAGGCTGATAGGTGTTTGTTCGAGCAGGGTCGAACGTAGCCTTTTGCCAATTTTGCGGCCGAAGGCTGATAGGCGTTTGTTCGACCGGGGTCGAACATAACCTTTTGCCAGTTTGGCGGCCAAAGGCCGATAGGTGTTTATTCGAACGGGGTCGATCATAACCTTAACATGTAGAGGGCGTGCTGATTAGCATAAAGAAGGTGTGTTAATAAGCATAAATTTCTTATTGCTTTGACATTGTTGCTTTGGTTACATACTTGGAGAAATTTACAAACCTTTTTTGGGGTGTTGGATGGAGTTCCAGTCCAAGTCTATCTAGTCCCTTTGTTGGTTGACCTGGAGAGCATTGAGAGGTCGAGCAATGAAATAGCAGTCACGGCTCCGCCTTCGCATACTTCCACTTGAAGTGTTCCCTTCATCGCCTCGTTAAAAATCTCCTTGAGAAAACCCAACTGGGACAAAACTCACGAGAAAAAAAGAGTACGACCTGGGAGACGTTTTTTCTCATAGAAGTTGAAGTATTTGAGGCGGTTGATGTTCGAGAAGTTTGGTAGTAGCTTTCCTTCCATTGTTTCTAGTTGGAACGAACCCTTATTTGCTTTTGCTGTGATTTTGTATGGACCGTCGTAATTTGTTCCCCGCTTGCCTCCCCTATCTTCGCTTGCTTGAGTTTTAGCTTTCAGTACGTAGTCCCCGACATTAA